CGGTGCTTATGGCAATTGCTTGTGAAACTTTTTCAATTTAAATTCATACGAAGGGAAACAATAAAGTCACTCACTCAATATTAATGACGGTCGGGCCGCACGAGTGTTGAAGCAAACTTTTGCAGAAATTCACTTTAAATAGGATGAACATATTGATATGCTATACTATTAAAATTATGCGCATTGGAAATTATTCTCGATTTATTTTTCGAGGAAAAGTTTTCGTTTTCACCCGAGAGTGACGCAAATGGTTTTCTAAGTAAGATTTTCGAGTCACTATAAAATAAATGTCGTGCAAGGTTGAAATCAAAACTCAAGCAGTCACACTTAGTCACTCAAGTTGGAATGACCAACAACTGCGGCAGTAAAATAATAAAATTATTATCTTGTGACAAATCTAACAGGGTGTATTTTTTTTGTTTACTGCTAATTGGTCCTTTATAGGTCTGATTCAAATGATACAAATCTCTTTATTTGTTTCTGTGTTTCTATTCAAAGGTTCTACTTGAGAAATTCCTAGAATTGAATAAAATAATTTAAAAACTGCGCTAAAAAGCGATAATTGTGACAAATTTTTATTTCTTCATGTGATCCGTACTTTGGGCACAGGCCAGTTTGCGTAGCTTGTAAAAAGTGGACCTCTTTTTTGCAAGCTTTTTTATGAGCAAAGGCCAATCGTCGTCTGGCGGAACGAATTTTCCGATTGGCGAGCTCGGCGAATTAAACGAAAAAGTCTCCGGTCGGCTTGCTGCTTTTGCCGGGTGGAAATTACGGACGCTTTTCGCGTTTCGCCGTCGAGTGTGTATCAGAGGGAGATGCACCCCCGCAGGGATGAGGAATCACATCACACGGTCAGCAGGCAGAACATTCGAATCACTGTTTGTGCGAGAGCAGACTGCGGCTCTTTGCACGCTCTGCTAAACAAAACCGGCTCGCTGCCTCTGTCCACTCGCAATTGCCGCAACCCTTGCCTACCCTGTGTGAAATTTTTGCACCCTCGCCCGCTCTTTCAGCTCTTTCCGTGCAGCCCCGGCCCACCTGGAAATCGAATCTGACGCAATTTGCCACGCGGTGGCTTAATTTGGGATTCTAATTCGGGCGCGTGCGGTGTTATTTGCGTGCGCACACCCACCACCGAATTTGTTGCGATTTGTTGCCACCACCGCGCTTGCCCCACGTTCACGCGCGATAAACAAATTGATTTGCGCAAAAGGTGTGGGCTCGGAATGAACTTTATATTAATAGTTTCCTGGTTAAAATTCCAATAAAAAAACTTCTTGTTTATTAAAGTTGACTTATTTTTCAATAATACCATATTTGGTGCTAAATACGAGCAGAGCACTAAACTCAGCAATTGTGCCGTAAAATTAAGAGTTAAGGCTGCTTTTTCACACTATTTTAAAGCTTTTTTTCTAGATTTTGAAGCAGTACAAGCTATACTTTGACTGAGACCTCAATATTTCAATAATACCATGTTTGGTGCTAAATACGAGCGGAGCAAAAAAACTCAGCAATTGTGCCGTAAAATTAAGAGTTAAGGCTGCTCTTTCACACTATTTTAAAGCTTTTTTTCTAGATTTTGAAGCAGTATGAGCTATAATTTGACTGAGATCTCAATATTTCAATAATACCATGTTTGGTGCTAAATATGAAAATTTTGTAAATAGTATAATTTTTGCATTTTAATAATCCTTATAATTAAAATATTTTAATGTTTTAAGCCTTTTAAGATGTAACTCAACTTCTTTAGACAAAGCATTTGTTGCATTTTTACTCATTTTCAGTTTTATCTAAGATGGTAAAAGTCTCCAATAAAGCTAATTTAAATAATAATAATAATGATAATAATTGAACTTAAAAAATTTTCAAGAAAAATAAATCATCTGGCTAATTATAGGAAAACAGGGTTCATTTTTTGTAATATGAAAAACTGTCTTCGATTACATGTCAGCTTTGTCAAAACAGAGGTGACAAGAAGAAAAGGGAGTGTTTGCGCACTTTCAACCCCATTCAAAAGGGGTAACCAGAAAACTCGTCGCATTTGTCACGCCGGCACTAAATGCAAATGGCACAGAGAATGAATGAAAATTATCTATTTGGGCAGCGTGACCCATTCACATTTGACAAAAGTCTCCACAGTTAGTTTGTTTCGCTTGTCTGCGCTATTGTGGTGGTTCGTCGCAGAACGATTTTTCACGAATCTAACCAGGCCGCGCGCACACTCGTATTAATTCCATTAAAATCACGCCAAAATGTAAACAAGCGACACATTAATTTTATTCATTCTAGAACAGCCCGGGTGTAGTTCGAAAACCTGCTGCATCACTCTGCCTCTAACGACACGCCAAACAAGCGATCGTCGTTAACCAACTAGAGAATAATAAATATGCATGCATTTTTTATATTTATTTTTTGCACTGCCACACAGTCAAAAAGAAAGGAGCTTTTACATGGGAAAACGGGAGCACACAATACATTCAAGCCGGCAGATAAAACTCTTCTCCTATGTATGCTCGCCGTGCTCTAAGCTCTACATAGTCTACATGCTCGGGTAATGCGGGCTGCATACAAATTAACCCTTGCAAAAGCAAGGCACACGTGATTCAGAGCAGTTAAAAAGCGGCGGCGCCCATTTACGATTCTCGGGGACACATTTATCACCCAAGAAGCAGAAAATGTAGGAGCAAAAATATATAAAAACAACGCTAAATTATACTGCTGGCCTCCCACTGTTTCTCACTATTTATTTTCACATTTATTTATTCGCTCGCAAATATGGAACATTTTTTTTTCTCACTGACTGCAGCGCAGATTTAATTATCATTCCACGCTGGAGCTCTGCACTAATGAATATTATTTGGCTCGAAAGCGGGCTGCGCTGAAAAGTAGAACAGTAAAAAATGTTGGAGCCGTTGCAAAAGTTCTGTACGCTGTAATCCATTTTGGTAAATATATTTTTATTTATTTATATTTTTTTTTGTTCCGTTGGCTGCTCTAATATTCCTTATCGCGTGGCACGCATTCATATTTTTATATTTATTTTCCTGACGGAGACGGAATTTGCGAAATTTATATAAGTGACATTTTGTGCCCCTCTCGTTCTTTAAATTGGGGTTTATTATTGTGGCCCAAGAGTTAGAGCACGCGAGCCCGCAAAAACCTACCTTGCCGTTTTAGGGCGGCTCATTAAATGCCGGAATTACTTTTACAACACACACCATCCCTTGCTCGCGGGTGTTAAATCTGCGAAGACTTAGGGGAGTTTGTGAGCAAAAAGCGCGAGTGATTTTTAACCACGTCGCGCACTAAACACTGCGATTAAAACTTCCGAGGCACATAAATTGCAGGCTATGTTAGCAAATTAATTAATTTTCTAGGAACATAGAAACGGCCGATCTTCTTAAAAGTCTGACCTAAATTTGACGGAAAATTTCCAAATAGTGAGAGGAATATTACTAAAAAGTGTTTCCAATTTCTTTTTTTTTCTCTTTGTCTCAGTAATTTCAGATTCATAGTTATAAGTACAAATATTTAATTAGTATTCAATGATTCAATCACGATAATCCCAAAATTCAAATACATCAAATCACATTAAGTTAAAATAAGCAATTTTAACTCCAAAATTGATCAGCTAGTGATTTTTGTTTCAAATAAATATGGTTATAAAAATGCACTCCCTTCATTTTCCATTATAGCTTTATTATTTGCAGACACATTTCGAGAAGCACGAAATTCGACGCCACAAAACCAATAATGGGAAAGTGGATCCGGGCGCTGCATTTGGCTCCAAATGGCCTTGTCAGCTACGAGTGGCTGCCCTTTGGTCACCGTACACTTGCTTTTTTGGGCGTCGAATTTCAATTGGGTGCGCGCCTTTGGTCCTCTCTTTTGATGGCGGTGCTGCTTTTGCCCTGTGAATATGCGATTAAAGATTAAGACGAGGGAGGGAGCGCCGTGTCGAGGGCAATCCTTTCGCAGGCTGATGCCCCTCAAGGGAAGGATAACAACACAAATGCATCTGGCTGGCGGGGCTCGACGTCAGGGAATGCAAATGGGCACGACCCTTATTCCTTTATCACTGGCGAGCGAGTGAAAGGGAACGCCACACCGCCGCTCTCGCCCCCTGCAAAGGGCCTGAATTTATTTGATTGCGTTTTCTGTGCGGCCTTTGCACTGCGAGAGCTACAAACGCTCATCAGCGTTCGCTGCAGTCGAGCGTGTGTTTTGACATCACTTTGTTTGCATTATGCAGAGCGGAAAAGTGAGAGCGAAATGCAGAGTGGGGAGAAATTATTGATGCTTGCATTATATTATAGTATAGTGCTTTTAAAATGGGGTGGTGATACATTTATAGCAATACAAAAAATGTTGACAGAGGCGAAATAATCAAGAGGGTACTAATTTTTTGTCATACAAATGCACTTAACTTTTCCAATTGTATATTTTTAGTGCAATTTTGTATTAAAACTTGAAATATAAAATGCAACAAAGTATTAAAATTAATAAAATACTGATTTTTTTTCATAGAGATTTTTCAATTTTTTTTTAATAATAATAAAAAAATCTCAGAATAACAAAACTTGCAATCGCTGAAGGACTTTTTATGATTTGACGTGGAAAATGAATAATTTTGGAAGATATTTTTGCGTTATCAAATATAACACCATAATTATTTAATAACGATTCAAGATTTTTAATAATATTATTGACCTTATTGTTAATTTAAAAGAAAATATAGATAATTAAATAAGACATACATTCATTGATTTAAATGAATAAATACATTTGCATATTATATAATTAATTATTATCAGCAGTTCCATTATCAGCGCAGCGCCTCCTGCAACTAAGCAAGAAAAACAATATTGAAATTCCTGTTGCTGGCTGCGCACCACGATGTATTTTGTTTATAGTTGGTGCCTCACGGCATTTAACCACGTGACCTAGCGTCAGCGCCAGGAGAGCGAGCTCATTGGCCCGGGTCATCAAGGTCGAGAGCTTCTGGAGGCAAGAAGGCTCTTCGAAAGAAAATAACGAGCCCGTTCTCCATTCTATTAAGTGCAATTCTACTCGCAAATTTCCGCAAAAGCGTGCATAATTCCGTTGATAATTGTGCTGAGGAATTTTGCAAACCGAGGCGACTTTATTCAAGCGAGACGGAGGCTTCGATAAAATCCTCTCGAGATTCGCTCCGTCAGGTGCCACCGCACCGATCGGGCCAACAAGTCCGATAGAGAGGTGTGTCAGTCAGTCAGTCTCTCGGATGGTAATAAAGGAGTCGTGCTCGTTGGACCAGATAACAGGTAATCCAGTTTTTTGGCTCAAATTTGACGTCTCCAAAGTCCAACCTCAATTTTCAAGGGGTTTAAAAATTCGATTGAGAACCTGAGCTGAAATTAAATTAATACTATGCGAGGCAGGAATAATTTTAGAAGCATAAACATAAAAATACATTGAATGTTTTGAATGGTTTCGGTAGTTGCTTGTTGTTTACGTCTAGATATTTTAAATAACAAAGTGAGTAACTCAACTTTAACAAAATTTAATGCTGCGTAATAAGATTGAGCTAACTTTAAAAAAAAATCAAATTACATATTTTTATATCACATTACATAACAGTTAATTTTTAAATATAAGCATAAGAATAATTTGTTCAAACAAAATAAATTTATTTTTTTTAATTTTCATTAATATAAGTATTTTGTTAAGTAAATACAATTTTTAATTAATTTTAAATGAAAATAAAATGCAGTGTTTTATCTAAAAGCATTTTTTAATATAATATAAAACACATGAATGCACGTTTAAATGTGGTGATGTGTAAAGAAAATTAATTCTTTTATATTGTTCGGTATTTTTATTTATTATTATCAAAGTTTGCGCTTAGTAGAAAACTTAAAGGGCATTAATTGTGTTTATTGTTTGTTACTGTTAATTGAAGTAACAAGTAAATTTGCATTTTGAAACCATGATAGTTCTCAATAATTAAATTTTATGAAAATCTTTGAACATTCCGAGCGCTGAACATGCATAATATTTTGACAAACCGCACCACACGCCACTACATCCGAAGCATGTGTATCGAGAGCAAAGTAGTGGACGAAACCGCACGCCGCTTCCCTTTAATAGTTTCTTCGGTTCCGGAGGCGATAAAAGACTGACCCATTCTCTCAAAGTTCACCTGTCTGCGAATGCTGTTGCCAAATTCCGAGCACAAAGTTGGCTCTCTTTCGTTTTCGACCCGAGTCTATAGTTGAGCTCGAGCGTTTTAGACCGTGGCTGGCGGTGAGTTTTGTTTCGGGCCGGCTCTGTATCGTGTTTTTGTATCTGCAGTGCGGCTGAACACGGCCAACTTTCGCTGTATATTCGCAAAGTGGCTCTCTCGCCGCTGTGCGCGCCTCACATTCGCTAAATTCAGCAGCCAGAGCAGCAACGAGCTCAAATCTCATCTCGAGCCGGCGACACTCTACAAAACTAGTCCATTTGAAAATTAGTTCGACACCCATCTCGGGCAATTAACATCCGTGCAGCACCCTCTTGGCCTCGAGCACTTTGCCCTCTTTCTTGTCCTCTCTCGACCGCCGACAAAATTCTATTATATAACTCAGCTCCTACTATTATGAGCTTTGTTCCTCACTAACTATAGTGGCGAATTACTGCTAATTCACAAATTGACTTATTCATATATGTATTTAATAATAATAAAGCTTTTGAAAAAAAAATTTAAATATTTATCAAAGGAATCTGCTTTAACTTTAAAAATTACATTTATTTTATTTCAATCTTCTTTCCTTTATAAAACTATTATATTGAATTATTTTTTTTTTGTTTCTTTCAGTTTTATAGAAAATATCATGTTAATTTTTAATCCGGCAACTTTTTTTTAGTATTATTTAGCAAAGTTCAATTTAAGTTATAGTTTAATGCAAAATATTTAATCGTTTAATTTAAATAAATTAATTATTATTAAACACATACATATTTTAAAGGTCACTATTGTTGATCCCAGTTGTTAATACACTTGGTAATATTCCTTTTGATTAAGTTGCTGAATTGAAACGCTTATTCAGTGAATGGTACCGCGGTTCCCTTTCGTTTCTGAAACGATTCAATCATTGTTTCAAGAAGCGCAGGCGAAAGAAAGAGAGACGGACTTATAAGAAATAAAAAGAAACAAAGCAGAGAGAGAAGTTGGCACCAGCGGCAGCTGGAAAAATTGCTCGACAAGTAGCGAGTTTCTTGTGTTGGTGCATCAGTGCAAAAGGGAGATGCATAAATTTTGCTGGCCTTATTTCACATTAAATTTATGAAAAGAGTAAACCATCTCAACTATAAGCACTTAAATTCTCAACTTTCTAAAAAAAGGTGTTGACTAACAATTATAAGCTATACCTGCTCTACAAAATTGTTGGAAATATTCTGAGACCACAAATTTATTTTCAAAATGTGTTTGATTATCTTATAAAAATTGCTATAAAAGTTGATATTATTTTACTTTAACTTTGATATTTTTTTTAAATAATTTTCACTAATAAAATAACTGATTTCTGTTGACGAATTGCAATAGTTTTTGGTGTCTTTATAGAAACAAACATTGATCGTAATTTATATTTTTAATTAGTATTTTTTCGTTTATTTATAAACAATTAAGTTAATCATCTTCACTTCTTCTCGTCTGATGTTTTGCAAACCTGCTTTTTCAACTGAAGTTTCTAATACAAAAGGAGGTGCTGGTTATTTGCCTTTCTCGCAACTAAATTTGCCTCGTTCTCATTACTGGGGCGCATTACTTGATTAAAACAATCGGCGGTGAGAATTCGCGGGTGCAGGCAACGATTAATGATTTATGGCGCCACAAGTGGTTCCAACAATGGCCAAAAGGAATGCAGAATTGTCCATGGAGGTAAAGCCCCGGCCAGATTCCAACCTTTCCTTGCTCGGCACTGCTCGCGATTCATCCCCAAGAGCAGAACAATAACCGAATTATTCAACGTAGCAATTATTGCTTTTAATTGCACGCCGGCAGACACTTTGTTCGGCGCCCTTGTGCGTTACACTATCAGTTGTTGTGTTGCGAACACAAAGGGATTCTTGTTGCTCGATATAGATACACACACCGCCGCCACCGCGAATTCTGCATGTGCTTTCTCTGCCGCAGTTCATAATTTCGCTCGCGACTTCATTAGTGTCACATTATACGCGCGAGCTTCTTCCCCTGCGCGATACTATTAAAAGCAGTGTAATGTGTGCTTTCTCGGAAATTCTCCTCCTTGGGTACAAAAAAAAGGGGGGAAATTGACGGCAATGGCCCTTGTGAACATTTATGGAGAATCGACTTTTATATATATTGATTTCTGACACCCAAAGAAACGTTTAAATTTTGGTCTTGTAATTTAATTGAATTACTTCACAAATTTAACGCAAACACTCTTTAAGTAGCAGAACATTTTTTACTAAGTATTTTAATCCTTAATTTATAATCCTAGCTCTAACAAACAATTTGTAATGGTATTCCCGAGAAAAATGGGCAATTTATTGGTTTAACTGCTTCAATATTATTCTTTTAAATTTTGTAAAATTTTTACAGATACTTTCACAGTCGGGATTCTCCTATCTCAAATGTTAGAAATAACTCCATACAAAATTTAAATTTTACAATAGTTTATAATATTAAATTTAAAAATTACCTCAAATTTAAGATTTTATTTAAAATTTATATCATAGTTATCTAAATAAATTAAATAAAAATTTCTATACTTTATTTAAATCTTTTAAAAGATATAATTGAAAATAAATTTTATAATTGCTTAGTTATGTGTAAAACTAAACTTAATTTAATTTTATGGTTTTTATTAAATTTTTATCATAAATAATTAGCTTTTTACCAATGAAATTAATTCAATAAAAATAAAATTACTTTTTGTAGTCGGTATTTGTTTGCCCCATTATTACATCACATTCTTCAAAATCAATTTTCTTTGAAAATATAATTATTTTGTTTTTAAGTGAAGAAAAGTGCGACACTAATATTTCAATAAATAATTGTTCAAAATTTTGTTACTTTTTTTCTTTTGCTCAAATTTAAAATAATTTAATAAATACATTTATTTTCTGGTGCAATTCTTAATTTTTACACACATTTATTAGTGATACATGAATCATGAACCTTACTTAGATTCACATAACTGATAAAAAAATATTGAAACATAATGTATTCGTTTCACATTGATTCATCTCAGCCGATATCTCTCTTTCCACTTTGATAGCCTTGCTCTCGCACTCTGCGAGTTTGACTGGAAAAAAAATCAGTGTGTCGCAAGTGGGTAGAGTGCAAGCTGAACGAACACGAGTCGGGCGCAGACGGCGCTTCATTTTCGCGGTTGACAGGCCGAAGTGGTAGTTTAGTTTGAATATTTTTATTAAGCGCCCTCGCCACCGTGGCATGGCAGGCAAGTCCATCAGCGTGGCGAAAATCAGATAAAGAGAGCGTTGGTTTGCGTCTGTCGGGAGCACGTGTAGCTCTAGAGCCCCCCTATTACACTGTGTGTGTATAAAAATAATGTGATGTTGGGTGGAAAGGACAAGAGTCGATGACTCGCTGCTTTCGGGCTGATGGACACTTGGTGATTGATTGCCTCTTGTTGCAGGATTATCGCAATAAACCCTTGATGTACTCGTGATTTGCCAGTCTGTGATCAACGCGGTATCAATTACTGAAGCAGCAAAATATATTTCGTCCTACCAGCCTGGAGGTTCCACAAAACACAACATAACGATGGCAGCTTGTCGATTTCAGGTGAGTCGCGTGCATCATTCATTCTCATTTTGTTTCAATTGGATGTGCGGCGGGCGTGCGTTTGACACCGAACAAAGGGTTTTTTATATTAATTGCGTCGGGTAAATGTCTCGAGAATTGTTAAAGAAATTTATACCTATTTTTTCGGTGTCTCCACTCGCTCGCTCGTCCGCACCTTCCTTTCTCCTTTTCTTTTATTTTATTTTTTGTACAAACTAACTTTTCCCGCTCGACTAACCATTCACTCGGTCAGACGGAGCAATGGGCGAAACAAAACGCGTTTCAAAGCCCATGAAAAAATCTGCCCGCCGCACGCAACAAAACGAAGAAGTTGCCGAAATACATCACGCGCCCGACCTGATACTCGGAGACAGCAACGAGGAGGACGAGGACTACCATTATTGTCGTGTCGGTGACGAGGAAGGAGGTTTGAGGTCCGTTTAGGCCCCTTTGGGCACTAATTGAGTTGCCGATAAGCGTACGTGGACCAACATCTCTTCACTGTAAGCGATGTTGCATCGGCTTTTGGCACGCGCATGGAGAACGTTTTTCATTCAACACGTGGCTTCTTTCATACCTAAAATAGATTCACTTACAAGTCATTTAGTTTGATAAAAGAATTAAATCAATTTAATACTACAGGAGTGATTAAATATCCAATTATTTGCTTATAAATTATATAATTTTGGGTCATTTATTTTTATCATTATTATATAAAATTTTGTTTGTTATATTTTCAATTTCAGTTTTTAGAGAAAAGCAGAAGAGAATTTTATAATGAAACCCCATAAATCGTCTGAGCAGAATCATTAGGATTTTTTGTGTGGTTCAATTTCATAATTTACGGTTGATTCATGGGGCCTTTCCTTGATGGGTTTTGCGTGTTGCTTATTATTTAAGAACAAACGTGATTCTATTCTGACCAAGATTATCATAAAAATTAATTAGTTAAAAGAAAAATATGATATGCAATTGTCATGTTTTGTGTGTAATAATGTGAAACTTAAAAAATTTGGTAATTTGATGAAAATAATTATGAAAACATATTTCGGGAACTAATTTCTGTTAAATAATATCACAGGCTCATTTATTATGGTTACAGCTGTCAACAGAAAATGTAGAGAGGAATATTATTTGAATAATTGAACTACTAACAAAACCTATCGAGAAAAAGCAAACTTGATTTTTTTTTTAAATTTTATTCTTTTTTTAACTGCAAAAGCCTATCTCAAATTTCAGAATACTGAACGAGATAATGGACTTTTTTAAAGTTAATATGTTCCATTCATATTATTTCTTACTTTAGGTAATATTTGAGACAAGAAATAGAAAGTCAAAGAAAAAAACAATGAATTTCAAACTACTCGGCAACAATTTTGAAAATTTCATTCAAAAGCCACAGAATTAAAGACACCATCCATGAGCGTGTCAAATCTTATCGGCAAAGTACCCTCCGAGAAAGAGGGGGTCGGTTCGGCCGAACTTGTCTGACGGGGGAATGTGCTCGGGGGGCTTAGGTCCGTGTCACAGACGTCGCACCATCATGGGCCCCACGGGGTCGACGCGCACCACCGCGAGTTGCTCGAGCTAGAGTACGAGGAGGAGATCCTTGAGCTGTCCGGCTACCACCACAGGCCACCCTCCTTGGTCGGGCATGTTAACAGCGCGTACACAGGCGGCTTCCTTCCCTTCGGTGATAGCGCGTCGTCAGTTGCCACTGCCTCTCCGCCCCCGCTACTGCCCCACCTGCCCCCAACCGCGTCGTCAGCCGCGTCCACCCTCGTGTCGGGCCACCAGTTCAGCGAGACCACGTACTATAAGCTGACTGCTGGCACGCCCCAGTCGACCACCTCGCGCGGCTCCCGAGGCTCCCGCGGCAGCAATTCCTCCGCGCGCCGCAAAGCCAGTGATGCGACGAAGGAAGAAATTCAAGACGACGACGAAGAAGCCAGCTTGAGGGAGTTACTAATGAGGTACAAACACACAAACACACCCACCTGATTTATCTGCGCGACATACCCAACCATCCCAATATCATCCCTCTTTGTTTTCCCAAACTTGAGCAATCAAAGTATAACCTTGTGATTATCGTTGATTAAAGTCTGATATTTTTCTAATTAATTTTTTTATAAATTTTTATTTGATATCTAATTTTTTTGTGCTAAAGCAGAAAGAAAATAATAATAATTAACATTTAAAATAATTGCAAAGTTTATACTTGGAGTGGATTTCATAGAACTTTTAAATCAGGTGAACCTCGTTGAAAAAAAATGAAATAATAAAGGTGCAAAAGTGACCAGCACTTTTGGGGTCAGTTCGTCATTCTTTGCAACAAGGTTCGCCTGTTTTCAATTTTTACAAAAAAAGAATTTTATTAGATTTGAACTAAAAACATTAATTGCAGGTTTCCAATTTTATTACATTTAGCATATTATATAAAATATGGCTAGAAATTGTTGTTGTCAATTGAATTTTTTTTATTTGTTTCAATATTTTAAATTATTTAAAAACAATCAATAATTTAATGGTTTTTTTTACTATAAATTATTATTATTGTTGTTTATTCTACTCAATTGTTGAGATTTTTTATTATTTAGATAGAATTTTTATAAATAGTTCTTTCCTTTTTTATTACATTTACTCCTGTTTCTCTATTTCTGGACATAGCACAATTTTATACTTTGATTGCCACCTTAAATGTTTCTAATTAGAACTCCCTGACCTGCTCTCATTCCTTTGCCGTAGAGTTATTCGGATAGATTAGCGCAAACTGCTGGATTTGCGTGCGAATCGTCCGCCCTGGGGAGGTGCGTTCGCGGTTCGCTGCTGCCCCCGTGGCCAACCGTGCAGCCAGGCAGCGCCGCTTTTTCTCTCCGGCTGCCGACGCCAATCGATCCTATATTTTCCCTCTCGCTCGCTGCTTGCTTTGCAGCATTCGCGCGCGTGTTTCGTTTTATGCTAATATTTTATATATATTTCTGCCAACGTCGGCTGATCCGGCGCGCGAGATGCGAATTCTGCTCTCTCGCTCGCTCCTTTCCCCCGGCAGCGCTAATTTGCTTCGATTTCGCCTCAACCGGATGTGGAGAGGGGCTGATTTTCACCCTCTTCGGCGCGCCTGGAAATTCGATCTTGTACTCGAGTGAAACCGAAACAAAACAGCGTTTGAAGTCGACTTACTTGTTGCCACCGCTAAGAAGGCTCGTTATGAACTTTTTGTGTTTGTCGAGCATCTCTTTTGAGATAAATTTTACGCAAAACAAAAAACGAAGTAAGAAAACAAACTGGAATTAAAAGATACCAGTTTTAAAGAGTAAAAAAACCTCTAACAATTTTTTTTCAATTATCAGAGTATTTTTAAAAATGCATCAAATTAACCTTGTGAGTGTAATCTAAGATCTCAAAAGTAAGAGTTTAGATCAAATACAATTTCCAAATGAAATTTTTCTGAGGTGTCAAAATCAATACTTTCAAAGACCTTTGCCGTTTTCAACTCTGATATGCTTCAAATTAAAACTTTCCAGACCAACAACGTGTTTCGAGCCATCAGCGTAATTAAATTACTCTTTGATGTCTACATGCACATTCAAAAACACAATCAGCGAAAATGAGAACGCTTTGATCAAGCGAAACGGAGCGAAAGGGTTAAAATGCAATGCGAGGCACTCCGGGCGGAAATGAGAAATCCCAAGACGGCGTTTGGCCGCAAAACCAGCACATCGATATCCTATTAATATGATTTAAAAAAAAAATAGCAATTGAGCACACCTTTTTAAAATTCCTATTATTTAAAAATTCAAACAAATTTTCGTTTTGACTCCCAAGCTTGCGCGCAATCCACCAATTTTAATTTAATTTCTGAACAGTGCTTCCTCAAACTCACCTGCTCTTTTATTTCAACATGTCTTTAACAATACGTATTATATACTGAACCGTATTGTTACTTTATATTGATTACTGCTCGACGTTTTTTCCGACTTTGCATCAAATTAGTCTTAGTCACGTGCGTTTCAAACTGCCTTTACTTGAAATCAGCCGTTTGACAGTGTGTGTTGCCCTTTCTCTTGATTGACTGAAGTTGGATCGGCTTCTCGTCTCCAAAAATATTGGCCTTGGAAACCTTAAATTGCGAAACGAGGAGTCGACTTAATTAATTGTGGTCTAGCTTTGAGATATATACTAATTTGCAATAAAGGGAAGTTCTATGACGTTCTCTCTTGTCGCAGTTTCCAAAACTGGAACGTGCATGCCACACACGTCAATTATATACAAACTCTAATTAGTCGAAATGCCAATTTGTAACTTTGATCATTTGAGTCTGCCCCTGATTTCTTATTCGTAGTCCCTCTTGAAAAACAAACGGATTGGTAAACGCCTCTTTTATTAAGTTTTTTTTATACAATTCCTGAAAGGGTGGGTCGGATTTTTGCTAATTAATAACTTAAAACTTAAGTCACCTTCTCTTCTTCGTTTGAATATGATTTGCACTTGTCTTTGAGATAAACGCCTATCATATCGTGCTTTTCTTCTTTTTGTTTTACTAGTGGAGGCAGAATGGAGTACGGGTAAATATGGCGACTACTTCTTTTTATTCGTGATATTAATTAATATATCCATGATATATTCCATAGTTAGTGGCGAGGGGTGTTTGAAATTGAAATTTTAAATTCTCATCAAACAAGCTCCTCCAGTAATATTTTACTCCTATTTTTTTTTTTTTTTTTAATTTAGTTGGTCTTTTTTTAATTTTGCTTTAAAACAAAAGTGAAATTATTGGATATGGAATAATAAAAAGGAAAATATACAGACTCCAGGAAAATTAGGGACAAAACAAAATTGCACACCCCATTGGCGTGGTTGGGACTCAAAATTTGTCGCCCCCTGCTCTTTTTCGTTGATATACTTACGACGCACAATGCATTATTTAAGCTGTTAGTTGTGTTAATCCCGCGAGTCTGTATAAAGCACTCAAACATAGACCGTTAGAGTTTTTCGTTTTTTTTTGTTTAATTTTTTTATATACCACATTTGTATGGCACTTGTTCAAAATTCAATGAAAAAGTTACAAAAACTTTTCACCGTCTCATGCCAAAGTTGGATGTTAGCCTTTGAGAGTGTTTCGTAGTGCTCTGGCATGACCCTTTGGTTGTTGGCTTTGTTTCTTTTTTAGTCGCGCGCTTCCCTCTCTTATTAGAACGACAAAAAAAATCCTTAACCCTCTGTATTATATTCTTTGATTGTACCGTGTATGTCGCCTTTTGTGTTCCGAAATTATGATTTCCGAACAATCAAAAACGCTTTGTCAGTTGAGCACGGCGCTTAATTTTGATTGACTGTTGCCTGTTCACTTAATTACATACTCGTTTCTGGAAACGCCCTTCCTCTTTTCCGCAGACATAAACGATCGATTTAACCTCCAAAAATTTTCTCTGAATTAATTTCCATCCAACAAAGCGTCTCACTACAAGACAGCAGCACGAAATTCTGACTAATCACCCTCCGCTATTCCGTCTTGAGGTGGGATGAGAAAATAGAGTCATAAATAAATAAATACACCCGCTTGGTTCTCTCGTGATTCGATGCAAGGTGGTCTGTCCATAAACTAGTAATCCAAGTTGTAAAATTTCGGGCGGATTAGGCACTTAAACGAAAGTTTGCCGATTAACCGTGTGGCCTTGCCGATTTTATAGCTCTCGCTGCAGAGGGGGTCAAGGATTGGTTTGCCAAGTTGAAAGTGCGCCGACCAGACCAACTTGAAGCAGCGAGGGTTGTTTTCCTCATTAATGAACCGCACTTTTCATTTCTCTCATTTTAGTACTTTTAATAAATCTTAATATGACACAAAATATTTAATAATTAAAGAAATTTTGTAAATTAACTTTTGGTTTTTCTGTGAAATAATATTCAATATTTATAGTTTTTCCATTGATCGTAATTCTTACTTATCATCATAAAAATAATTGATTTGAATTGGATATCAAAAATTTGATTTAAAATTTAAATTCATCATTCATCACACCTCAAGATTGGAACTAATTCCCCCGCAAAAATTTCACCCTTAAAAATGCAAGTTGCCCTGAGAATCCCTCCCTCTTGGTCCAAACAAACGTCTTGGCGACATTCAACTGTGCTCCGCTGACAGAGCGAGCCCCACCCACGTGCCCCCCCCCCAATTTTGGTTTTGGCTTGCGTGTTTTCCTGCGTGTGCACCCCCCATGCCCTGCCGACGGGGGGCCGACGCGGCGCCGATGTGGCGCAGCGTCGGCCCCGCCAGAAAGCGTCGCCTGAACGTGCGTCTGCCCCAACAGTCTTCAACAGCAAGTCACCGTGATGAGCATGAACCTGAGCAGCAAGCTGGATGAGCTGCAGAGCGACCGTCACTTCGAGACGACGGTGGCGCTCTCAGAGATCCGCACGCAGCTGCAGGAGCTCACAAAATCCGTGGATTCGTGCCACACCGAAATCGGACTGGTCAAAACGGACATGGTCGCCATCAAACACGAACTCGACGCAGTGCAGCAAGTCAAGGAGGAAATAGAGGAGTTGAGAGAGTACGTCGACCGACTCGAGGAGCAGAGCCACAGACGCAAGGCGCTGCTTCTTAGACAGGTGCGGCCTCAGCCCATAACTTCTTTGTGCAAATACATTATTTCTCAATGTTGTAGACTTTTCGTTTTTCATTATGGTTTCAGCATGATATTGATTAATCGTGAGTTTTTAATGTTCTATATTTATATATTCGACTCTTGAACAATTTGCAACTCAAATCGTCTGAAAATTACAATTTGACTTGATCTAAATTTTTATAAATCTATTTGAATTTGCTTGTTGAAAACGTTATCGTGAAGACGAGCTGCTTAATTAAATTTGGGCCGTTTTTGTCAATTCTTTTAAACGTTTGACGAAATGAAGCCCACCTACCAAAATTCAGTCATTTTTCTTTCAAAAGCTACTAAACTAAATCGAGAACTCGAATAAACTCAATTTTAATTTGATATTTTGTTGATACAGTTTTCCACTCTCAAAATGTAATGGTTGAAAGGATCTAAATATCTAAGCGAAATGATGATTTTGAGGGTCGAAATTGAGACTCGAACCTCCCCCAGTCTGTTTTTTTGGTTTTGTTTTTTAAGTGAGAAGTGTTATTTTTACAAATGCAATTTGCATTTGAAAGTGAAACATCAGCATCTGGGGTCAGCTTAAAATGTAAGCTGGGATTCTGTCGATTAAGACTCGGAAATCAATTGAGATGGTTAAATTTCGTCTGAACAAGCACGACTTTTTGTCCTTTCTTATTTGAAATTGGAAAACTCTGTTGCCATAAGTATTATCTTCCAAAAAAAAAAAAAAAAAAAATCCATAGAGACTGATTCTGACTGAAATTTAATCCAAACTTTCCCGAAGAGTCTTTTCTAACCAACCAAAAAGTGAGGAAATTTTGAATTCATGTCTGTATGATCAGAATAATATCATGAATTTTTGCTTAAATTTTTTCTAACAAGTCATGTTACTATAAATTAAAAAATATAATGAAAATTAAATTGAAAGTTTTTCCATTAATCCTTGGAATGCAAGCCCAATCAAGTATATATCAAGTGTATTTTTGTATAAACTCCCCATATTTATGATTATTGTGCAGTAGACTTTGTTGTGTTGTTTCGTCGTATACGATAAAGACACCTCGAGTTCATAAGTTTCAAACTCAGAAACTCGTTATTCCGAGCACGTTTTAATTTCACGCATGTTCCTCGTTTTGATTTCACGCCGCCCATGCAAGCCGTTATTGTGTTTTCAGTTCGTCGTCGACAATTGTTCGGTAGGTATCCGTCTTGCCTCTTTCTCTCTTTCTACTACGCTTTACACTCACACACGATCCAATCTCTTTATCCTTGCCTATGGAAACGCTCTAATTTCGCTCGTCTCGGAATAACATGTTTTTCATTCGGCTGATTGTGGTTCCATTTCTGCAGGGCCTCACGATGTTCCTTTCATACGCCATTTTCGCAGCGGTGCTCGGCATGCTGCAATTTGGCTACAACACAGGCGTCATCAATGCTCCAGAACTGGTGAGTGTGTACAAAGTAGTCTCCATGCAATAATACGAGACCAAAGCTGCTGCTCTCCCTCTAAACGCAGAGAGGGAAACGCCTGTGGCGATGCTGCTTAGGCAACCGGCTCGCCAGCCCCGTCGCTCACGTTGCCTGCGCCGATTTCCAGCTCCTATTTTTGGCATTTCGCCTTTTTTATATTCTGCGAAACGCTAATGCCGCAGGGACGCGCGCGTGCGGCGCTCCGTCCGTACCTGCGCCTTTTTCAAAGACAAAAAAGCGCAAAGGAGGTGTTTTAAGTCGCCTTTTCGCCGACGGGCGCAGATCTATATTTGAATTTGAGTGTAATTAACGTGATTCTCTGCGAAAACGCGCCACGGGAGATTAAAAGCAATCAAAGTGAGAATACGAAAATATATTTCCCAGATGAGCGTGCAGAATTCTAATCATCTAATTTTAGCGTATTAAAATATATTAAAATATATTTTTGACGGAATCTTGATTAACGGTAGGAGCAATAAAGATTGAATTTGATTTTGAAAATAAAAATTAAAAATTATTCACGACTTTTGGTGAATTTATTTCAATTTTTGTATTACTCATTAATGGATGCTCTATTTTCGTTTCAAAACAGAAAAACTTTTCAATCAAAAAGTTCTAGCTGGCAAAACATCATGTATGATTAGAATAAAAAAATAAATAAATAATTGAACCGCGTTTCTGCTTAAAAAATATCTAAGCTGTTTCTGTTTTGTCTAGACAATGTAAAATGATACTCAGAGAAATACGCACAAGTATACATGAAACCTTAAATTATTACATTTGCATAATCAACAATAGCCTCCCTTTCACTGAAGGTAATTCAATATTTACCCCTTCGGCGGCTTTGTTGTTCAACGTACAACGGAACTTCTGCTAATTCGGTACTTTCAGCAAGAGTTTGGGTTTCTTAATTAAACAAAACAGATCGACTTTCACTAAGAAGGACGCAGGCTCTTTAATTGTTCTAATTAAGAAAGCAGGTGCGCTTGGTCTGGATCGAACATTGCCCAAATGAATTCAGCACTCTTGTCATTCAAATAATTACAAATTTCGATTACTGACGTGTGCGTTTTCGGTTTGCAGAATATAGAGAACTTCATGAAGGATGTGTACAAAGACCGCTTTGGCGAGGACATCCCCGAGGAGAAGGTGAAAATCCTGTACTCAATAGCAGTGTCAATATTCGCCATCGGCGGCATGGTTGGTGGTTTCAGCGGCGGGACCATCGCCAACAGATTTGGCAGGTACGAACGAACGCAATTCATTTTCGAGCCGAGCAATTAGCGCGCTCGAGCATCCCCAATATTCGACAAAGTACATGAGGGTTCTCATTATTTAATTTTTGGCCCCGCTCATGCGAGATGATCAATCGAGCAGCGCTCTTAATTATCGCCCCACGTGCAAGAGCTTTGCAAAAACCTCCCTCCTCCCCCGGAAACTTTTAATACCGCGCCACGTTCCAATAAAATGAATAGATATGAATCCGCTCTGATAGATTTTTACGCCACTATAGTTTTTTGTTGGTAAAGTTCTATTATTTTACCTTCTGCATACTGGGAAGTTTTTGTCCCCTTTGAATCTCCGATAGAATATATTTACGTCCGAGCGAGGGCAAAGTTGGAGAACACAAGCGTACGTTTTTTTCCTCCACCTTCTACCCAGAGGAGAGCGCGTGGTGCAACTTTTTCCAATATTTTCGTTTCCCCGAGGTGCCAGTGCTTCATAAAAACAATAATCCATATCAAGCTGCAGATGATATTTAAGTAATTCATGTGTGTGCTTGCAGGAAGGGTGGTCTTCTGCTAAACAACTTCCTAGGAATAGGAGGAGCGTGCCTCATGGGAGTTACTAAAATGGCTCATTCTTATGAAATTTTATTTCTTGGACGCTTTATTATCGGTGTGAATTGTGGTAAGTAATACTATTGCACTCCAAGGTACTTTTATTTTTTTAATGCAATTGATAGAATGGACTTTTTATTACATAGTTTCCTTGTTTTTCCCTTTATTAGAAGTGATAAATTCTTGTCACATAAACAAAAAGAAAATTAATTGAGAATTCAGTCGGCTTTTAATAAATTGAAATTTCGTTGACGTTACAAAAAAAATAACTTTATTGATCCTACTTGGAATTTTAATTAACTTTGTTAGCTGAGAGATGAAATTTCTTTTAGTGGAGAGTTGGATGCTTTATTATCAGCCATCTTCTCCAACTTGTGTGTGAAGAAAAGTTAGCCACGCCATTAAACTATCTCACACATCGCGGTTGCGAGACAAATTCATTCGCGTGGCTCGTTCGGATGAGAATTTATAATGGCCCTAGTCGGCGCCAGTTAAATTCAACTCGCTCTTTCTCTCTCGGCATGCGACATTTGACATTATCTGGCTGATTTGCATTTTCACGGAATTTTAACTCGCGCTTGTTCTTACAAGGCCATTTTTGTTGCTCGTCGACTGTTAAATGTTAAATCCAATTATGATGCTAATTCGCGCCGAATCTTAAAATTCTCAGTCTTTACACCCATAAAAGATGAATTAATTACTAATCTGTGTCGTTGCAGGTCTGAACACTTCGCTAGTGCCGATGTACATTTCCGAGATCGCGCCGCTGAATCTGCGGGGCGGGCTGGGCACGGTGAACCAGTTGGCGGTCACCGTGGGACTGCTCATCTCGCAAGTGCTCGGCGTCGAGCAAATTCTTGGCACCAACGACGGCTGGCCCGTCCTCCTTGGTCAGATTAATATTGCGCCCTAAATCAGTCCTTCCTAACCTCTGGCCACACACCCATGTGGCGCCTCTAATTAAGAGGCCACCCTGTCTGGCTTGAATTTTGCTCTTTTAATGATTTGCACTCACTAATTTATTAACTGCTGCGCCAACCTCGTTAGCGAAGAGACAAAAATCGTCCCAATGCAGACGTTCCTCGGTTTAACTATGTAATTGATCATTAGAATGGACTCAGCTAACATTTAATGGAAAGCTATCGTCGGAAAATGTAAAATATCAAATTTTCTTTGAAGGAATTAATATTTAGTTGCTTTTAAGCAATGTAAAAATAAACAGTTAAAAAAATTTTATAACATAAAATTTATTTATCAACAAATATTTTGTTAATTTTTAAATTTCTATGCAACTTTATTGTTTTATTTTATTTTTTTTAGTTTAATTCTTTATATTTAAATCCTTTTTGAATTATATTTATCTGAAAAAAAATGTGGTAAGTTTTAACTTTTTTAAATTTGCTGTCATTGTGAAGTTATGCATTGCATATCAAGAGAAATTGATCTACTAAACAGGTCTTTTCGAATGTTCTATAATTCCTACAATAAACAATACCAGAAAATTAATTCAAATTAAAAATGTTAAACATATTTATATAAAAAAAATTAAAAAAAAAAAACAGTTTTAAGATTTTAAAGTTCTTTCTAAGCTTTCAGCTTTTTTCAGTGAAACTCTTACTCTGCTCTTAACAAACTAGACTTTCGGTTATACTTGTGTCCGGTACATCAGACTAGAGACTAAAAATTAATACTAAATCAAAGGAAATTTCCAGTTTTTGTAATTATTTGATATCCAAATCACTCAATTTCAGCTGTGCATTTCTTTTTTTATAATTTTTTTGCAGTAAAACCAACAGACATATTTTAAAGGGGCTCTTGTCAGGGTGAAAAAAAAATGCGGCGCGCGCCTCTGTCTCATTTATCAAAGCGTTAAACTCAAACCGAGCGCAACTTGAGTGTTTTTCTGTGCGCCCGAGTTTTGGTGAAAATTAATTAAGAGCAGCTTTTCATGTGCAGGCGCGCAGCGGCAGTGGAAAGCAAGAGAAGCGAAATATTAACAAATATATATATATATACGTATTCATTTGTACTGTAGACGAGAGCGAAGGGGTTGTTGGTTGTTTTTGTCTCGTCTTATCGCGGCAGAAAATCAGTTGTTGTGCACTCGTCTCTAATTATTCGCAAGGTGGGCGCTTTTGTTAGCCGAATTTATTTCGCAGCAAGGATTTTAAGCTTCTTATCAACGGAGAGACAGTATTTTCTTATTCACGCACCCTCCCAGATTCGATTTTCTTCCCTTCCCTTTAAATTAATTGCGGTTGAGGAGAAACATTTAGTTTTGGGTTTTACAGGGGAAATATTTACACAATGCTTTGGTGATTGCAAAATTATTTAAGAGCAAAAATATCATCAAACTTTCTTACCAAAAAATTCCAAACCCTGAAAAAAATTATAAAATAATATTTTGTACTAAAATGTAATGTTAATTTACAGGTTTGGCCATTTTCCCCGCAATCCTGCAGCTTATCCTACTGCCCGTGTGTCCAGAGTCACCGAGGTACCTTCTTATTACAAAGCAATGGGAAGAGGAGGCTAGAAGAGGTAAGTTGATTGATATATTTTTTCATAGAAAATTCAATTGTATTAGATTCAATAAAACAAAATCTTTTGATATTCAGATCACAATTGACCCAGAATATATTCTTTGTGAAAAAAGTGTCTTTGGATTTTTAATCACAAATAAATTGAGCTAAAATTTAAAATTTCTGAAATTATAATAAAATGAATAAAATACTCCAAGGTTTCTGTGAAGTAGATTTTTGTAAACAATAAATTTTAAACAAATTACCGCCCCTTTGATGAACAAAAAAATTAATATAAAATAATAAATAATCAATCACTGAAATTTTTTAATTTGTAATTGAGAAAAACGGTTTTAATCTTTAAAATTTAAAAATGATTTTCAGCCCTGCGACGGTTACGTGCCTCAAATCAAGTAGAAGAGGATATCGAAGAGATGAGAGCTGAGGAGCGCGCTCAACAGACTGAATCTGCCATCTCCATGTCCGAGTTGATTTGCTCCCCGACGCTGCGTTCGCCACTGGTCATCGGGGTGGTCATGCAGCTGTCGCAACAACTCTCAGGCATCAATGCTGTGAGAAAATATTCATAGCTTTCTCGCCGAAATAAAAACTGTCAACTTCTTTTGCCCGCAGGTGTTCTATTATTCAACTGGGCTGTTCATAAGTTCGGGTCTGTCGGACGAGAGTGCCAAGTTCGCCACGATAGGAATAGGCTGTATCATGGTGTGCATGACGCTGGTCTCCATCCCGCTGATGGACCGAACCGGCAGACGCACCCTCCACCTCTACGGGCTGGGCGGAATGTTCATCATGTCCATTTTCATCACCATCTCCTTCCTTATAAAGGTGCGTGCCCTCCATGCAGCAGGCCAGGTGGTGGTGAAAGGGCTCAAAAATTTAAGATTTCAACTAAAAATTTAAAAGGGGACTGTAAAAATGTTGTAATTATGAACATTTGAATAAGCTTTTTAGACCTCTGCATTGGTAAGTGACAAAAGGGTTTCCTAGCTTGCTATGGGTCGCAAGTTGTTTATTTTGACAGGTTGTGATCTTTTCAGATTAGAAACCATAAAACTGTATTTTATTTGATTTTTGAGAGAATTTAATTGCCTCCTCAAGTAATCCGTTGTTATTGCTTGATGGAAAAATACAGCCGTGATCACAACCTGTCAGCTTTCCTTAAAAAAAGATGCTATGTATAATAACTCCTGCATTTCAGGGCATGGTGTCCATTGCATAAAGCCCCTGTTGCCGAGTGACCACTCCAACAGAGGCGGACACTCTCCTGCATGCCATTATTATCTTTTGATTTGCCTCTCACCTGCAACAAACAAACACGAGAAAATCACATTACTCGCCCGGCCATCCAAATATATATAATGACACCCTAAATTATTCACAAGTACAAACACACACACTGTAAATCTCGGTGAGAGAGAGAATAATAAACACACAAACCATGGACGCTGGCGCATACTAACCAGCGCTTATCAGTATGAACACTTTTATAATGTTGTCCAGGTTGGCGTGAAAAGATACAATTGACGGCTATACCTGGACTGCGCACTCATAAGAATAAACACACTCTATACTAAAATAGACTTCACTGCCCCCAGATATTTGCTTGCAGGAAATTTTTCTTTAATAGAGGAAGAAAATAATTCCAAATTTTTGTATGAAACGTTTTTAAGCAAATTGATGGAAAAATATAAGCGTTAAAACTGATCAATCAAATAAAGGGAGGTGAAGTGTTGATATTTTGTTAAAAGCATAAAAATAGTTTCTTTACATAAATTGTAAAATTTACATAAATATTTTTATTTCACAATCAAATATTTGATAAAGTAATTAATTTTTGCATTATTAGTACTTTAAACACAATTGCAAAATACAATTAAATATTATTTTATAATTAAAGATAAAAATATATTTTTAAACAGTTTGTACTACTTATACTAATGTTTATTAACTATTAATTGTTTTTTTTTGTAAATTTAAATTACAATTATTTAAATTTTGGATGGTAACAATTTAATTAATTAAAAACAATATTCATGTTGCAAGCATCATAAAAATAATCACATGGACATACACAAGCACACATTTGGCATGGCTTGCCACCTCACCCTCAGCCATTTTGCCCCCTTTTGAGTTGTCCCTGAGTGTTATCACTAACAACTTTCCTAATATGACGTGGAGGAGAGATTCAATTATTATCATACAACTCAATTTGGCTACACACTTGTCTTACATCACAAGCAATTAGCACTACTTGACTGATATATTATACAAAATATATCGTTTCCATTATCTATATCTGCATCCAGAGCTTAGAAAGAGAATATATAATTATAACATATACTTAATTTTCTCAAGAATAATTATCTGCTTCTCCGGCATTACTTAGGAAAGGAATGACACTACCCTCTGCTGATAGGAATTCTTTGGTTATGTACAGGAAATGATCGACTGGATGTCGTACCTCTCGGTGGTCTCCATCCTCGGCTTCGTTGTCTTCTTCGCCGTGGGTCCTGGTTCCATTCCCTGGATGATCACGGCCGAGCTTTTCTCCCAGGGTCCAAGACCTGCAGCAATGTCAATAGCCGTGCTCGTCAACTGGATGGCTAATTTCCTCGTTGGAATTCTCTTCCCCACCATGAAGGTCCAAATCACTTATTTTTATCATCCCCAATTTATTAATATTTTTTATTCAAATTTATTTTTAAATCTAACTTTTATTTTTATTTTGTAGACGGCACTCGAAAACTACACCTTTTTGCCATTCAGCGTGTTTCTTGCCATATTCTGGACCTTCACATATAAAAAGGTGCCTGAAACGAAGAACAAAACGTTCGAGGAGATCTTGGCTCTGTTCAGACAAGGCAATGGGAGGTAAGTCCGCTGACCGGATCGATCTCTCGCTACTTCGCCGCGCGTACCGAATTTGTTTCTGAAATTTTTGGAGCCTGCCAAGCTCAAGCTGGATTGAGAAAGAAAAGTGAATTTACAACATATTCTCTCTTGAGAAATATTGAACTAAGATTTTTACACCACCGTAGGGAAAGATAGTACTTTATGATTTTATTCAGCCCCCCTTTGACAAACCTTTATTTTGATATTTAATTTTCTCTTTGAGATTTTGCATGTTTATTACTATAAAATGAGACAGCTACGCTCCTAATTTATTCTTGCAGTTATAAACATATAATTCTGAATTTTGTGTTCCTCCCATGGAATGTTTGTTTGTGGTTAACCGTAACTGTTCTTTAATTAAAAATTCAGTGTGTAGTTTTTTTTTTTTAAATTTGACTCTTGAGCCGAATTAAGGCGCAGGAATTTGAAAACAAATTATTGGCATATCTACAAAATTATCCTGCTTTAATTTTAAATTTTGGCTCAACAGAAAGAAGAACATATTGTTGTGTTTTGAAAATAAAAATTTGATATCAATTTCTTGCGGCTCCAGTTATTGCGCGATCAACGACAGATTTGCAATATATCTGTGTTGATTAATTTTTGCATTTAATTTCCATAAATCAGTGTCGTTAAATGTAAACGTAGAGTCTCCACATTTAGATCTTTTGAATGTAAATACATTAAGAAAAAGAGACATTGTTACTGTTTGATTTTTAATTCAGTGCATTTCCATTCGTTTTTTCTTATCTAAAAGGGGCGGTCTTCGGGAAAGTAGATTGTACGGGTGAGTACAAACGTTGCAATATTGCTTGATATTGAAATATATTATAAGATTTTACACGAAGTTCTTTGGTTTAGCTTTAGAATTGAATGTTGCACGCTAGTTCTCTGTATATTTCAAGTGAATGTGCTAGATATTATTTCTGTTGTCGAATGCGCATGTTTTGAATAAAAAGTGCAAAATGCATTTTAGTTATTTAAAAAAAAAAAAATCTTTCCATCCTCTTATATTTCACTTAAAAAAAAATAAGAATTAAATTCTCACGTCCATTTCTTTTGTTAGTTTCATCTTTTCTCCACGTTTGGTTTGTCTCAGATTTAGTTTCACATCAGCATTAAAAATTCACGAGATCCAGTGGCCGCGCGCCGGTCACATTTTTCTGTACCACTGAAATCACGGCTCAGTCGTTTCTATTCTATACTCCATATTATATATAGTTTCAAAACCTTGACATTTTAGAACAAGTATCTCAGGACAATGACCAGTACGTTATTTTGCTTGGCAAGTTTCACGAGTGCAACAAAACCAAATAACCAGAAAAAAATTCTACATACAGCAAGAAATTATCAAAGTTGAAAGCTTGTGTGTTTAGCAATTTTACATATAATTGAGGGCCACCCGAACCCCTGAAGGGTCCTGTCTAGGACTTTTTCAGGGTTGACGGTCGGCCTGCTGTAATTCAACAACAGTTACATGCTAAATGCCACCTGTCTATCTCTCTCACACACACCCCCTTCTTCCAAAACCCACCCCTTTGTGTGTATTTATTTAGTTTAAAAAAAAAAATATAAATATTAATCCAAATCTCACCAATAATTTAACAAAGAAAAAAAATCCACGCGAGAAATACATAATTATATTTGTGGTCCTTTAACATATGCAAACTGCCACTATGACCAAAAGTGTGTTAGAAGGACTAGTTATCACTTTGAGTTCATATGGCCACTTGAACCTGGGTTGCAGGAGCACCGCCAGTAACGCAGTTAGCAAAGAAACTTTGGTGAGCGGAACCGAGGAGACCCCACTGTCCAATTCATTTGCAAAACCCACTCCTGCCAAGACCGAGTTCAACACCAATTAGTCTGCGCGTGTGTGTACGCAGCGCCCCCAGCAGCAGCTAGAAAACCAGCCACATGCATTTAACACTCTCGCGAGATGCTACTTTCCGTTTTAGAGGAGTTGATAAAACCACTCGCGCTTTTCGCTGAAACGCCTCTCAGACGAGAATATATTTTCGATTCTGTCAAAGGAACGCGCGTGCCAGCCAAAAGCAGAGACTTAGTTAAATATACGTATAATTAAAACGCTCACTAGTAGCTTCTCTCACATTTTACATGCTCAATAAAAAATAAAAAATGTACCCGTCTCTCCCAAAAAAGTAAATATATATTTCGTCTGGGCTCGTCCATTTCCGCGCACACACGCTAGCTTTTTATTCTCTCTGTAAAAATTTGAATCTCTCGTTAGCAACCTCAATGTCCCTTGTTTGCCCAAAGTTGGCGGTTCCGCGTGACAATGTTACTGTTCAATCTATTTTTACCTAGCTTACCCAAATTAGGTATGCTGAATCTTTTTCAGGAGCATGCTTAACTGTGTAAATGCGTTAGAGCAACGCATGGTGCAGGCCGAACCCGGGGCCTCTATTTTTGACGACAAGCCACTTCCTGATTCATGTAAGCATTGATGACACGAGTCGATTGTTTGCCAATATATTTATGCTAATTATTCAGTTTTGTGTGAATTTTAACGGAGCAATCCAGCTCGATTTCATCATCGAAATCTATTAAAAGAAAATACTATGATTTATATATATTTTTGTTAATATTTGAGCCATAAGGTGAGATCGAACTGGTGACCTTTCGAAACAATTCCGAGATTTCCGAACTTGTATCGTTAAACCCGTGACGCAAATAGCAAACCAATCTTGTCACACTGTGTAAACCTGTATTCGTGTGTTTCTTATGGCTAAAAGCAATTGACGCCTCAATTAGCCAGCATAAATTATTATTATTCTTGCTCAACTGTGTCCGTATATCTCTCTCTCTATTTTTTGGTTTTGCCTGTTGTGTATACCTCTACCTCTGTGTTACTCTCTCTTTCTTCTTGTGCCCTATTTCTCACGCAGTATATTCCATAAAATGAAAGGAATATGTAACAGACAAAAAAGCAAGTAAAGAAAATAATAATTCCCACCGGTTTCAAAACGAGAAAAATTAAGTGGTTCTTAAATGTAACATCAGCATGTTTGCGCCGTAAATTTGATTTCTTTGATTACATTTTCATCCTCTCTTCAAACTTGACAAACTTGCATGATAAAAAAAATCTTTTACGCCGTAGAATTAATTTACACTGTGCTTTACAACCGGAGTGATTTTCATACATCATTAACGCAACAAACGCGCTCAACTGGTCAATCAAAATCATTATCAAACCAAAACGAGATCATAATTTGTTATTTTTATATAAAAAAAAATTATATTCCTTTCTTTTAATTCAGCAACCCTTTAAACTTCATCCTTTCTTATTATTAGTTTTAAGATTTTGTTTTGTTCAAATGTGTGTTTATATTTTGATTGAAATTTTACTATGATTTGAGAAAAGTTCTAGTTTTATTCTAGCACCCTATCCTAACCCTGACTGCTACTGGTGCTCACAACCTAGGCCAGCTCTTCCAAATAATTTCTCTCTCACTTGCCAAATGCTCTCACGAACCGCCGTTTGATTACAAAACTGATAATGAATATTTTTGCAGGGCATATTTCCCAGTAAACGTGTAGCGTGCTTAATGCATTGCATTCTAAATAATACACTGATGGGATTGAAGGTAATCACACTCTTTTAAGTATAAATCGAGACATTTCCAAAATCAATTTGGAATTTGATTGATTGATGATTGATTTGTGTGTGTGGCACTCGTGTGAAAGCACAGTCATGCAGCTGATTAAGTGAAATTAATTACATTAAACCACCGCTGCTGCCATTGACCATCACCTGAACACGATTTGGTGGCGTTTGATACGTTCAGTTGGCTGCCAGTCCAACCCGCAATCGAGTTAATTACGTAGACGTGTCGCTGGATTATGGCCAGATTAGAACGCAGCTAGATATTTTCACTATTCTGTCTCTCGCAGCAACAGTTTTGAAGCAGCTTTTTGACCGAAATCCCAGTGAACTGGGAACGTTTTGATTTTTGACTCTATTGCTAGAAATTGAACAGGCTCAGCTGCCTTTGGAATACTTCTTCAAAAAGCTGTTGAGCCCTTTAAAAGTTCTTCACTAGACACTAATTAATAACACTTGCAGCTCACTCGGCTCAGATACACAATCCAGAACGATTACAGTCAATTTAATAGCAAAAATACACACACACCACAATCCCTATTGCAGTCATTCTGAAGGAAGTCAGTAACAAAAATTGTATATTTCCGCACTAAATACTCAAACACCATTCGAGCACTGGTACTTACATCCTGAAATTTGTTTCCTCTGTATTATTTAATTTTCATTAATTATTTTTACGTATTTTTTCATTGAAAAATTTATATTCACCGCCATTTAAAAATAACCAAAATTTAAAATCACAGAAAAAGACTCATTTCACATCTATCAGGCATTTTTCTCATTCTAATAATAAAAAAACAGCACTTTCAAGTAGAAGTAGAAATTAATTTTTTTAAATTAACATGAACGCGCCACAAGACAGCCGCGTTTACCTGCACGGATATTAGACTAAAAACGTGATAGATTTTATATATATAAATTGGAAGAATCGATTAAATGTTTTTGATTTTAAAAATAATGTTAAAACAAACTATTTCCGGAATGTAGAGCTTTGCCAGGAACATAGCGCTGTTTACAATTTTTCCAAAATCTGCAAAAACCACTCCCAACGTGGCACAGACAGATCACTCGGAACCTAGAATCATTTCCTGCCTAGCATTTGGGGCACACGCTGCTAAACCCTCGAGTTCTTTTTGTTAAGTAATTTTTAATTTAGTAAATTATGCAACCTGTTGGACTTTGGTGCAAAGCAAATTGCATATTTCACGTTTCTCTAGTGAAGAGTGTTGATTCAAGAATATAATTAATTAAAATAAGATATTTTTGCTTTGTAAAAAATAAATCATTACAAAATTTTACCATCTGTAAGCAGTCTTGAGCTGTTTTTAAAAATAATAATTATTTTAGTAAAAAGTTAAAAAAAATTAAATGAGAGTATAAGTTTTATTTTTATTTTAAAACTTCATAGTAAAAAATTTACAAAAACAATCAATTTAAGAGTAGAAGAATATTAAAAAAAATTAATATTTTGTTCATATCAATATAAAAATAAAAAGAACTTATTTACCTTCAATTTTCCTTTAAACTATTTTTTAAATCACCATTTTTATATTGTTTTAGCGATTAAAATTGCCCTCATAAAAAATATCAGTTAATTACTCGAGTTTAGAAGGCGTGTGCCCAGCCTGCATGCGGCTGAGTGTTGTGGTGTCCGGTCGGTGGGTCGACAAATCTTGTGACCACGTGTGTTCTGCTCGTTTTTCAGCTGTCTACGAGCCCTCTTCTCGAGAGCTCGGCCAAAATGCAGCACCCAGACCCCCAGTAGTCCCCCGAGCACCGTGCCCTTTGGGCGGGCAGGCTCCTCACCAATCCTTCCACATGCCGGGGGTCTGACATTCGGCGCGACCTCCACCACCTAACCGCTTTCCTCTACCCTTACCACCCCACCAGCAGCAGTTTCGACGCGCGTCGTGCAACTCGTGCTCGTCGTCCACCTCCAACTCGACCGCCAACTACGTCTCTGTCCTGCCCCTGCTTTTCCTTTCGCCCCCGAGCCTCGAGACTCAGCTGCGCCAGCTGATCGCCAGCAGGAGCAAGGCCTGCGCCAAGTACCTGAGGAACAGCGTCAGACGTCGTCCTGCTCCCCCATCCACCTTCCACCCTTCGCCCTTTCGCCAGTCTTCTTCTGCCACACTTGATTTCGCTCATCCCTCAACGTCGGCCGGCAGTCATATTTTGGCCATCGTCACAATTTGAACATTTGAAGCATAAAAAAAAAATCGAAAATTTTCGGGCCAATCTATGACTCCGGGTGAAAGATACATGGATATTTAAATTATTTTTACAAAAGAAAAAGATGAGATTAAATATTATATAAATCGCTAGCTAAATCAAAACTCTAAAATCCGCTCACTGAAGCCATCCATTTGCTTGTATGTAAACGAGGAAACGACGATTTGTAAAAGACACGTCTTCAAGGACAATCTAAAATGTAAAAACCTAAAAAAAAAATTACACACATACACAACTAGAGCGTTCCTTCTGATATGATTTTTCATAATCTCCTCCCTCGCCATTCATTGTGCGTTTGATTTATTTTGTACTCTAGACAAACAAAAATGAAAAAATGATTCAAAACACTCGCACAAAAACTCAATACGTACCTATTATCATTTGTTTTTTTAACTGTCGTTGTTTTTGACACACTCTGCTCTACATCTCCTTGTCCTCTTTTTGTTTACGAATTCTGTCATTCTTACTCGGCATGTTTCGTGTTGAATTACATGCAAGAGAAAGAGAGAGATTATAACATTCTCGCATTATATATATGTGAGTGGGTTTTTTCGTTCACACAAGAGACAGATTCTTCACACACGTATGAAAAAAAATTAGTAGGAAATTGATTGGAGCGAGAGCGTAAATTAGTCATCTTTTAGTCTAATTTACTGAGATGTATAAATATAATATTATTCTAATGAAATCTCACTGCCAAATATTTGAATACACGCCTCGTCGCGTCCGGCAAAATTGGCGCTCTGCCGCCAGAGGATGGATGCGTCGTCGCGGAAAAATGGTCATACACAAGTCGCAGCGACGACAGCTGCGGCAAGCTCAATTTTTAAATTTAGAAGAAAAAAAAACACTACTGATCAAGGCTTGAAATCAATTACCAAAAGAGTAAACACACACAAAAAAAACGCGATATGTTGCAAAAATAAGTGAAGTGAAAAACATACGCTGAATCGTTATAGTATGTCTAGTTATGACAAACATGAGAATCAAAAATCCATTTCGAAAAGAAATTAATGAAGAAGCGGAAATTATAAAAGAACCATATATAAATCTCTCTCTCTTTGAAAACGTTATTGTAGTTGTTATGAGAAAAGAAAAATAAGAAAAGTTCAAAAAAAAATTTAAAAATACACACACATGCTGTATATATTGTTTGCAAAAGATGAGAAGTTGTACTGGTATGTTTGTTTATTTGGCTTCGCAGTAGAACTCAGGGCATCAAAGCCGAAGACGTGACCAGCCTGCCCGGTGAGGAGCCGCAGGTGGCGCCCGTTTACTGTGTCAGGGCCCGATGGCGCTTTCCACGCATTCCCGGCGGAGGGCCGTGCGGATGAAACACCGACCGATGTCGTCAACATGGACCAAAGTGACTAGTTTATTTCTCGGCGTGCACCACGTTGCAGGAATTTATGGGAAAAATTAATAATAATAATCATGCAATGTATGATAGGATGAAAAAGTGACTTGCTGCCGCGTCTCCTCGATGATAATAAAATTATAAGAACTCAAGGACTGTGCGACCAATCCGCAGACGTATGAATTAAATTAATAGTAAACACGAAAACAAAAAACTCGCTTAGTGACAGTGACCAGTGACTAAACAAGAAAGTTTGCTCATAAACTTGCCGGATGGTTTCTTACTACGATTAGTAGCTTTCCCGAGTGAACTTATAATTATTACGGTATTATTATTATAAGCGGAAAATGTGCATCTAAAAGGGAAAATCTAAAATTAACCTCACGCAAAAGAATGAAAAATGAACACACAGCAAGGAAAACAAATTGCCTTCTTAAAAAACGCGCGTCTACACTTAACTAAAAGAAAAATGGACACTTTAAAAAGAGAAAAATACGACGAGAGAAGAGTTTATTTAAAAAAAAAAAAAAAAAATCGTTAGTTACACAAATTAGCTTGTAATCACCGCTGATTTACCCTGTGAGGAAAAAGGTCAAAAGATGAGAGATACTAAAAATGCTCATACAGAAATTTCCACTGCATAAATCGAAAAAACTTTTAAACTGAGTATTATTATTCTTACTGTAATGACAATTGTAAATAGAAATGCAAAAGAGGGAAATCGACGTCTTGGCCGAAAGTTGCAAAACGTGTCAATCCGGAAAAATACTCAACAAAAATAAATTAAATTTAAAACTGGCATATTTTGTATACTTGAAGAAAGGCGGCGATCGACACAACCAATCGTTGCATTGAAACAACGTTTATATCAATCCAAGGAGAATTATTACGCATACTTATTAATTATTTAAGATTCTAACTAACGAAGATTTGCATTCGGTGAAAATTTTTAATAGATTTGGGGGTTCACACTCGACTTACACAAACACACACACGTATACACGCATTCACAGAGAAATTATATTGAACAGCCGGGGAGTTGTTATTAATTGAGAAAATTAAACTCAACACGCAGAAAGTAGAGCAAATGCTAGAGACGATACCAAAATAGTCAACACACAGACAACAACAACAAAAAAAAAACGGCAAAACTGAGGAAATTTCAGATTTCTGGGACTGTTACACGTCTCCATATCCGTGACCATGCACCGCCGTCACACCGTTTCACGTGAGAGAAATTTCGTTTCGCGAGATACAAACTTATAAAATAAAAATACTTCACAAACGCAAACACTTGTAGATTTGAATTCCTGCGATCTCTCAATCAAAAATCAAAATTCGGTTCGTATAACTTTTGTTTTATTCTCCTTTCTGCTATAAAAGTTCCAAAGATTGATACGACGCAGAATATAATTTATAATTTATTGTTTGTAATTTTATAATTAATTTTCCAAATTTTATCCTAAGTGCAAACGTGAAATGGACGAATAGTTGAGAACAAAAGCACACACGGAATATGCAATGGGACAAAAATATAATTCTAAATGTAAATATACAGATATATATGCGAACTGCTGCCTGTTTTTGAGGTAAAATGGTGATGATTATGAATGGTAGAGATTAAAAATGATATATATGATGATGAAGATGACGAAGAAAAGATCATAAAATTATGTGTTTTGATTGTTGTTGTTCTTTTTTATTTATAGATGATGTATGTATGCCACTCTAAGGATATAAAAATAATAATTATTCTACCTAGTTCTTGTATAGAACAACTTTTAGAAGTCAAAAATTTTAGACGAAAGGAGCAGATTATTAAATCTAACACTTAAGAACGAAAAAAAAGAGACATAACAAACAAAAAATTTTGGGAGTACGGACTACGTTCCTCTCTAGTTGAAAAACGCAAGAAAAATCCAAAAAATGATCACCTGGGCTTCTTGTAAAATATTCTTACATTTGACGAGTTTCCTTCAAAGAAAAATAAAATTAACATCCAGCAATTAACTCTGAACGAAAAAAAGAAAGAGCCATTTACTAGCTATCGTTTTTATGAGTAATTCTCTCAATTATGGTTTAGACAGGGCCCGCGAGAGACGCAAAAAGGAAGTAAACGAGAGAGACGGAAAAATTTAACCGTGCGAAATTTTGAAAAAATACTACGATTATAAAAACGATCTGAAAATTGTTCACATTTAGGTAAAAAAAAAACATCAGCTGCTAAAAATGTGACGGGTTCTGTCAATTTTATTAGCTGTTATACGCGAAAAGTGTTAATCGAAAACCAATAAACTGCTCTGTTGGTATGTTAAGAGTTGAATGGAAAATCTGTAAGTTCCATGAATGCAATAAAATTCTATCTCTATAAAAAATCAATTTCTCCTTTGTTTATTTCATACTCAAATATCCAGCGAAGGAACTAAAATGAAAACCAAATATTTCCTTGTGAAATAAAGCTGCATAATTTTATTCCTTAAAATTAATTTGCTAACTTTTATAAATTCTATAAAGGGTCAACAACATTATCTACAATATGATACAATTTTCTTTCTTCATTAACATTTTACTGAAATTTTCAGGTATATTTTACGAACTATCTATTTATTTGATTCAATCAAATGCTCTTTGAGGTCAATCAGTGACCCTTTTCTCTCATCACCGCCCTGCTTCTTATTCTTATCCCCATTTTCGACTAGCCAGGTCTGCCAGCCTGCACTTTTGGCGCCCTCGACATCCAGGTCGGCGTTGTCGCCCACGTGCAACGCCTCCTGCGGCTGCAGACCTTCGATTTTGGCCAACTCGAGCGCCTTTTGGAAAATTTTCGGGTCTGGTTTGGCGCAGCCGGCCTCGTACGAGGTGAGTACGAAGCGAAAGTACTTTGACAACTGGCACGCTTCCAGAATGTTGTGCAGGCGGGGGTCAAAGTTGGACACCACGCCCAAGGTCACAGGGCTCTTTTGCAATTCCTCCAACAGAGACACGGCGCCGTCCCGTGGCGCCCAGCACGACGAGTCGGTGAATTTGGTGATTAGCGTGTCGGCCAACTGAAAAACAACGCAATTATAAATTTCCTTTGAAGTAAAGTTGTACATACAATGTACTATACTCCTTTGTTTCTTCTCCCAATTAAATTTATTTTTATTCTTGGTTTATAACTTATTTTACTATGTAATTATTATTCAAATAAATTTATTACATCATAATAATTTAATCATTATTAAAAAAGCTTTACAATTTACAGAAAAAAAGTAATATTTTCTGGTTGAATCCATTTGAACCGTTAAAGATTTTGGAAAAGTTAGAAGTTGCAGAGCAATACATATTTGAACTAATTACAAAAAACATAATCTTAATCAATGAACTATAAAATATCATTAAAGATTAATTAATTAACACACAGTACAATGTATTAAAAAATAATTTAAATTAATCAATAAAAAGGAAAGTATTAAAAAAAATTAGTAAACAATCTATAATTAAATGAACATAAGAAAATGAAAACATTAATTTAAATTATCAAGCTTGCAAAAATTATGCAATTAAAATTATCTAAAATTAATTATATTAATTGTTAAAAAGATTACTTTTAATCTTTTTAACCATAAATAAATATAAATGTACATATGAATTTAAATTCTTATTGTTTTTTATTTATTAATATAAATAATTTTTATTTTAAAATTTTGCTTTTTAATAATTATATTTTATTTTAATCATAATTAGCATTTGGAAAAATTAGTTCTAAAATATTGTTATTAAATACAAATTAAAAATAATTAAATAAGCCGAAATCAATTCATTAAAAAAGTCAAATACATAATCAAACTAGGTATTTTAATATTATAATTAATAAATGCAAAAAAGATATGAATACAAAATTTTTACTGCCCCTTACCTTGAATAGAGTTTGGTGATCCGTCTCAATTTTGGCGTCGACAAACGTCCTGATGACCGTTTCCTGCCACCACGGCTGCCACCCCTCATGTTTGAGCCCGAAATTGGGCTTGACCTTGTTCATGTGCGTCCATTGCCTCTTGAAGGCGGTTTGCAAATCCTCTGGATCGGCCTTCAGACCCAGCTGGGCCGCGACCTGTGCGTAAAAGGCTCCCGGGGGCTGCTTGAACTTGAGCAGGGTGCCCGTCACGTCAAAGGTCACCAGCCGACGCAGCCCTCGTGACATCCTGCCACCTGAGTCTTCGCCTCACACCATCCTGGCCGAAAACACTTAATTTTTGTACGTCTTTTGCGTGTTTATTATACGACTCGAGGCCCGGATTTAGAATATACGATTTTGTGCAACTTGAAGGAGACAATCGATGAGGGTTTTTTAATTTTATTAGCGACGACGCGGTCGCGACCGCGGCGATTCGGCGCGCTGAGTGCATTTCGCGGCACTTCGCCTCTCCACGCGCATCGCTTAAGGTGGAAAGTGCAAACTTCGGTGCACCAGTGATTGAAAATTAAGGTGGCATCTCTTCGGGATATTATTGGTCTTGGTGCAGCACACACTGGTGGGGACCGCTGCAAACTGGGTCTCCGCTTAAGAATTTGCTTTAGCGAGCGATGCTGCCATCTGGTTCTGAACATTTCTACCAACGTAGAGTTTTTTTCTCTGACAATGAGTACACTTATGATGACTGATAACTTAAGCTAAAATGTTTAAAATTTATTAATTTTTTTAAATTATAGCAAAAAAAGAGAATTAATTATGATTGTTAGCTAAAAATAAGACCGGTTATTAAAAATCGCTATATAATTTAAAGTTAAGAGAAAAGTATATAAAAAAATGCAAAAATTTAATCACGAGGATTCAAAATTTTATGTAAATGACATTTTAAAGCATAAAATACACAAAATATGCTCTTCATAACAATAAATTATCATCCATCTTCATTATTTTGAAAAGCTGCAGAATTTGAAGCCAATCAATAATATTTGATGAATACGTCAAAATTAGAGAGAGATAATATGTTCATGGTGATTTGCATTTAAAATTCGACTTTTCCTCGATGGGTTTTTGTGAGTTTTTTTCTATTTTGTTTGAAGAAAAAAACAATATCCCATTCTACATGTTTCGGCTGCGGGCTGCAGCCATTATTCATGAGCTGTGAAACAATTTTGACAACAATTAGTACAAAAATAAGTCTTTTTTCAAAAACATATTAATTTTTTAATTAAATGTACAATTTTGTACTAATTTCTACTAAAAAAGAGAGATAATATGTTGTTTTCATAAAAATATATCACATTTTACTTTTTCACAGACTATGTAGCTTACGCAAATTAATTAAAATGCAGTGAAAAGGCTTCCGCAAACAAAAAGCAACCTCTTCACTGAAATGGAAGCAGAAACACCGTGAAAATATAACTAAAAATATAAAAAAACCGTGGTTGAAAAAAACTTGCCCTGAAATTAACAAAATTCCTTGCAAAGAATGCGTGGCCCCGCGGTCTCGTACAATTGCAGCGGCGTTTTGTTTAATTTAATTCCACTGTTGAGGGCTCTCGAGCGCAACCAAGAGGGCGAGAGCGAGGTGACGAATTTGTGCTCCGGCAGCGCAAAAACAGATGTTGGCCTCTCTTCCTTCCTTAATGGAGTTTATGTATATTACTCGTGGCACCGACGAGAGGGCCAAAGGAGGAAGAAGGAAATGCATAAGGGAGCAGGAAAGAATAAGAACGACGTGTACAGGACGCGGCGTTTCTCCACAAGTGCGCCCGCCGGCGCGAGGCGTACACATAATAAAACACGCGACGCAGCGAGCAGTTTTTGACGTGAAAAATTAATGGAACTCGACCGACGACGAGAGCCGCAAAAGTACACCATGCGACGACGAGCAGCACATTCGGCAAAGTGGAAAAGAAAGGCGCGCTCGGAAAATGCGTATACGAGATGGCAATATTGCCGCTGAGGCTGCACATTCCTCCGGCACTGAAACTGGATCCTGAAGCATAGGAGGATGACTCGGATGGAAATGAAAGAAAAAATATCCGACTGGTGTACGCTTCTAACTCTGAATGAGAATGACATGACAGGCCATTATTATATTAGTTCACTTATTTTATTTTTATGAAAATGTAAACAATATTGAAGTTTAATGGAAAATTAAAGTAATGTTTTTATTTTTAAATGCTCCTAGCTCAGTATAATTATTTTCATTTGGTGCATAGTTGTGGATTAATATTTGAATTAATATGTGAATTCATTTATTCAAATATACTTTATTAAAAAACAAATTTAGGATATTTGATGTTATCAATTTAGGTCAAAAAATAAGCCAATGAGGTGAAACATTTGTCAGCAAAGTCAGGTGTTTTAATCGGTTTATAGATGAATTTTGTTAAAAGATGATTTTTCTTTCAATAAGTGATTTTAGGTAAATAAATAATAAAAAAACATCACAAAAAAAGTTTATATACCAAAGGAAACCACTCTCGAAACGGGAAATAATAATTTATTACTAGACTAATCGCTTTTCAGGGAATTACGATCTCAGATGCGACATATATATTTTACACAAACCGGTGTAAAAAAAGTTTAGAATATTCATGATGACGTGATAGCAAAAATGTTAAATTCCCAAAATTATCATTCTTTTTATCTCGCGTTTCAGAACGTAATTCCAAGTAAAGGCGATTTGTCTATTTACGATTCTCAAAAAGAACTTATATTTTGAAGGAAAATAAACAGTAAATCATTTACTCAGGTTTTTTTTTAAAATTGCATGTGTGAAATACAGTGGAATGGGTATTTTTCATCAAATAGAAACGTCAATTCTAATTTTAAAAACTTTTGGCTATTCGGGATTTTTTTTAATTCACCTATTGGAAGAAAATTCGTCTTTCAACCAAATTTACCCATAAACCGCTTAAAACACCTGACTTTGCTGACAAGTTTTTCACATCATTGGCTTATTTTTTGACCTAAAATGATAAAATCAAATATCCTACATGTCATGTTAATTCAAATTTTAAACCAAAACTATGCACCAAATTAAAACAATTGTACTGGCTTTTTAACAGACATGCATATTTGAATTACATCAAATGAAATAAAATTATATTATAATCTATTTTTTCCATCCCTAATTGTAAATTGTAGGTAAAGAAGTAAAAATATATAAAAAATAATAATCATATGATAAAAATTCTCTAATTTTGCATTTAAATTTTGCAATTCGTTTCCTGTGAGTAAAAAAAATAGTTGTTTTTTGTGAGATTGAGCCGCGCGCCGCGCCTCGGTGTTTACGTAGAGGGCTCTGGGGCGGCGGAGGTGGCGGTCGTCGTGAGTGCGGCGTGGTGCTCTCGGTGCCTCGCTCCGATCCGCCAGTGCATCACGCAGAGTCGTGGACTCGACACACGCCCGCCGACCCCAAGGCTTAGCACGTTCTTCTTGCTGCCGGCCTCGCTCCTCTCGGCAAAGCCCGGCCGAATGTATTAGAAACACTGTCCGCCGGGATCCACATCTCTGTCAGCAAGAATTTATAAGTGTGTGTGTGTGTCAGTGCCGAGGGCCGAAAAGGGCCTGGGACTAATATTCGTTTTGACAAGAGCCGCAAAATAAGGTACTTTTTGTTGGTGCGCGGCTGAAATTGGTCTTTGGGCAGCGGAATAAGGAAGATAAAACTACGAGCCAAGGTAAGGACAAGTTTCATAATCGACAAATATTATTTATTTTGACTTTTTATTTTGCATTTTAACTGAATAATTAGTCAATTTATTAATGGTACTGTTATCTGGAAAATTTATTATGCTCAATCGCTTTGAAAAGTGACCAGATGTTATGTTTGTTATATATTTACTTAAAATTGGAAATAATAACAAGTTTAATTTTTATATTTATTTTTATTCATTTAATTACTTATTTTTGGTATATTTGTTCAGGATTAGAAATGATAAAGTTTAATTTATTTTGATTTATTTATTTATTTTTATAATTATTTATGTTTGTTATAATTGTTGAAAATTGGAAATGATACAGTTTTATGCTCCTTTTAAAACATTTCTTCCATTTTATTTTTATAAAGGAAAAGATACGGCTAGTTTTAATTTATGCAAATAAATCCATAAATTATTAAATAATGTGTTTTTTTTAATGTTTTATTAGAATTTGAACTCGATGAGTTTATTGAAGACACTAAAGTAGCGTTTTACTTTGAAGAGCTCTTTTAGAAACAAATGTTGAAACTTATCTCATGAATCATTTCGTATTACTCGAAGACTTCCTCTCAAGCGCAATTACGTAGGACGTCCCGAGTTTTTTATTACACTCGTCTCGTTTTAAAATAAAGGATTACGGTGGCTGCAGACTTGAAAGCACTACAAAACCGGATAGTGAGTTATGCGAATTTAAAGATGCACCACGCACGGCAATAAAATATATATACGTACTTTTATATTTTCCGTACGCCGCGCAAAACGAGAATATAATAAATTCTCTCTCAGCAGAAAGAAAATAAAGGTTTCCCAATTTGCAGCAGGTAGGAGAGTAAATGTATGCAAAATCGGCGGCACAATAATTTATCTCGGTCCGCCTTGCTCTAAGGAAGGCATCTCGGATTTCAACGCGCAGAGCGAAAGAAACAAAGCCGCTCTCGGATGGGATGGGCGAAGCATAAATTCATAAAAACAGAGACAGAGCGCGTCAATAAATAAATCAGTCCCACGGAACTCAATTAACACGTTTCCTTCTCTGTACGGCGGGGTCAAAATCGAGTGCTGCTGGGAGGTCTGCTTATTTTCTCTTTTTAACTTAATAATGGGCCAATCAATCCCACGTATGGGAAACAATCTATGTATCGCATGCATGTAATGATGCATTGTTGAAGAGGCAGCTCGCTCGCCTCTCCTCGACAATATTCATCATTTTCGCTAATTTATCGCGGGGCATGATCGGCAAACACGACGAGAGAGCACTCTGAGGATATCAAACGGCTCTCGATTTATTTATGCGAGTCTCGCTTGTTTGCGCAGCTTCGGCTCAATGAGAGCCGCTCTTGATTACATTAAGAACCGAAACCTTCGCGATCTCACAGTTATATTTCGTGAATAAAAGATTATCGCATCATTTTGATCCGCCTGCTCTTGAAAAACGAATGACGCTGAATCACTTGAGCGACATTAATTCCTCATCGGATTATTTTAATGGTGAAAAAATATATCAAAGAACAAGGGCCATATTTTTTAAATAATTTATTATTATTTATTGTCATTCTTTTAGTTTTTAAGCATTAAATAAATATATATAGCTATTTAATCTTCCAATTATTTGATTTTTGACAAGTTTTTTTTTAAAATTATATTTAAAAAAATTATAATTTTTTTGTTTTAGGAGTATATTGGCAATTATTGCAATATTTATTCTTTACAAAATCATTAAAAAACTTTTTACATAAACACTATTTTCGTAATTTTAAATAGTAAATTTTCTTGCTTCGCTTGAGACTTCAGTACTTTTTTTCTCAGTTTTAAGAAGACGCTTATTAACAAAATCATCATTTTTACTTACAATTATATTTTATTAAACCAAATTTTAAACAGACATAATATCTAGTTCATGTTAAAAAAGCTGTAATTATCAGATTGACAAAATTTACAATTTACCTTACAGATACCTAAACATATTTTCGATGTGTTAGATTTCTCTAGATCTTTTTACATATGAAATGAGACGGATTATTTAAAAAAAAAAAATTGATAATTATATAAATTGAAAATAAAATTTTCAGCTTATTATTATTTTATTTTAAAATTCTCTTTTCTTCTAATATTAGAATCAATTTTAAAGATCAATATAATTTGTTGCCGCAATGCAGATGAACCATTGGACGCATCAAAATGTAATGCGGGCATGAAACATCGCTTTGCCGAATTCCGATCCGTCATTAGTCCCACTTTATGATGATGTCAACGCGCAATAAGAGCAGGTAAAGAACCAACACCTGCGATGCAAATAATAAATAAATTTGGCACCGAAAGAGAGTGGCGTGCCTTGGTTTTCTTTCACTGCGTGCGCCGGCCCTATGCAAATGAGGCGTGGAAAAAGGCCAATTTGCTTGCTCGGACTCGCCCGTCATATTTATGGCGTTGTCTTTTCGTTCGAGCACGCGTGTATGTATTTATTTTTCTCGCGCCTCCATATTTTCACTCTTATGCTTATTTATTTTAATGAGACCGACTCCCCGCAGTGAGCGATGAAAACACGAGACGACGTTTGTTTTTCTGCGCCTTGTTAATTTCTGCTCGTGTGATTAGCGATCGTGTAGAACAAGTCGACGTGAGATGGAAGCTCCGTAAATCAGCAAAATTTAATATTTATTTTCAGTGCATTGGGATCAATTAGCTTTGATCGTAAATCGCAGGAATAACCGATTTAAAAAAGTGACAATTAAAGTGACAGCATATTTTTTGTTTAATGTTGAACCAACTTTGTTTTTGAATAGGCGAGTATGGATCCCATTAATTTGTTGGATCACAACTTCCTGTCGTTGCAAAAAATAATTGCTCAATGTGGTGCCGATCGAGCTGCACTTTAGCCCAGCTCATCTCCTCTGGTGGCGCTTAAGTGATAGTTAAGTTGTGATTTATGCGAAACATGCATACGGTATCATTACACTATCTAACGCCAACCAGTCGTTCAAGCACAATAATTCAATTCTTTGTATTCGTGCAAGTCAAACTTTATCACGATTTTTTTTCGCAAAGGGAGTTGAAAGCTCAAAAGTGTGTAGAACATTTTTTTTTACTGAGGAATCATCGAAACAAAATAATAAAGTTTGAATTAGTCGTAAATCTGACTGAAATAAATATTTTGAGGTAAAATGGAAATAAAACGCTTTTTTTTAGCAAATTAATGTTCAACACCAATAGTTTTAATGTAATATAAAAGCAGCGTGGATTTAGGTTCAAGAAAATATTTATTGGGTTCGAATTTAGGGCAACTATACATGAACTCATCCAAATAAATGACAAAAACTAAAATTTTAAAACAAGCTAGATAGAGAGAAAACATTAATATTGCTCAAAATATTGCTTTTTCAGTACTGATTTAAAAAAATTAACATTTTCATTCAAACATAGATTTGATGGTAACTCATTCCAAAGCCTATAGCATCAAACTTGAAAACAGTTTTCCGGCACCTCCACACTAACAAACGGTGCGAGCAGTTTCATTCGGTGGGCTCTCGTGCGTCCGAGCAAATTTACATCATACATTGTCGTATAACATAATCGTTCAAGTACTCTGGACTATTTTTAAACAAGATTTTGTGTGTCTGAACTAAAATTTTCAATTCAAGTTTGCATTGCACAATTTCGTTACAATACTCATTTTTTGTGTTTCAATGCTATTATAATTTTAATTTGCAAGAAAATAATTCGCAACAAGGAGAAAGTATTAGTACATTGTAAAAAGTACATTTACATTGTTAGTGACAAATGATTTATTTGCTTATTCAGTCAGTGCAAGCGACCTGATCAAAATGCAGCCAATGCCTTGTATGCTGACACGCACTGTCTGAATGTCCGCACCTGTGTGAACAGTAATTAACATCAAGGCCACGTTCTTTATTTCCGCTTTGAATTGATTAAATTCCTGCTAGTTAAACAATGTTGATTAAAAATACAAAAGATTTGTGTGGAATTATATTTTAAACTGTTTGAAAAGCATATTTTTAATTAATTTTATTGATCCCAAAGAGCCAATTAATCAGCCATCGTCCATTTGCTGATTGGTGCTCATTTCATTTTGCGTAATTTTCAATATTGTTTACCCACGTTTTTCACCAGCATCACAAAAGCCTGGTGTTCTCTCGCTTAATGAATGACGAGTGCTGGAAAAAAAATGGTAAAAAAATAACGGTTGGAGAAGAGAATTATTGCTGACGAACGAGCAATCAATATGAGAAAAGCAAATTGCTCTCGGCTGCTGATTGATTGCTCAATGCAAATCGTCAACTTTTATAGCCGATATAATATTCTCTATGCCACTTTTCGCTCCAGACGCGGCCGTTTTGTTTGCAGAAAGGAGGGAAATTTCCTTTAATCCACCGACTGAGTTTTTGAATTGCAAATCAATCGGAGCTAAAAACTTTGCCTCCTATTTCCGTTTCGCATTTGAATTTCTTTCTCTCTCAGATTAGCCGAGTGCGAATTTGATTGTGTCTTGAGGAATAATTTATATCTCCATCTGCTGGCGGATATTTCCCACCTGAGAGCAAAAACTGGCAGCGCTGGTGAAAACCCTTTTCCGTTTTTCCACCTGCCCGCCGATATTAAACTCCATAAATAAAATAAGAGCACGGCCGGGAGAACTCGGCGCCCTGCTAGCTCGTCGGTCCCTTGCCCGTGGAAAAACAGCATTCCAATTTTTACCCTCGACATTCATCTCACCTGTGACTCGGCCGCACACTTTTTGCATTTCCCTCTGCCGAGCACCACAACTGGCATCTCTAGTGGGATTGAACGAATTCCACATCTCCAGAGGAGGAGAGGCCAATGGCATTTTTCTTCTCAATAGTTTATTCACCCCAAAAGCCCAGTTGAAGAAATATAAGGATTGATTTTTATTCATTTCTTTAAAAAAAAAAAATGGTCATGACAATTATTGAGTAAAATTTATTTAAAAAAAACCCAATTGA